CAGGTGTTGACCATCTGTCCCAACCGTTGTTCAGTTGAATCTCATTTGTGTTCCGTGAAAGACTTGTTTTACAATGTGCTTGTTTATTTCGTTGATTCCCTTAACGGGCCCGGGGAAAAGGGGCGAAAAAAAAGTTTAAATTTTAAAAATTTTGTTTTAAGCTGGACAAGACACCAAAAGAAACTTATGGGATGCTGGTACGTGTCTATGAAGATCCCCCCGTCCATAAAGTTGTTTTAGTGGTTAGCCCCGAAAGGTCAGAAAGATTTTTGACAACACCCTAGCGGAAGCTGGCGATCCCCTCAGTGATAAAAACATTGAGAAGGTGGGGGTGATTAATCACTAAGATCGTCAATTAACTTGGCATGATAGCTGATGAGTTGTAGATTAACCATGAATCCGTACGAAAATCTTTCCCCAAATTTGGGGAGAAAAAAAACGTGTTATTGATATTGACGATATTCCTAACATCCATCGAAACGTGACGAGGCTTTTGAGCTCCATCCTTAAAGAAGGCTTCTTGCAAAGTTTATACGACATGTATAGCAGATCTCAGGGGTGCATAGCTATGGGCGGTGACTATTTTGAAGGACAGTAAGGTAACTTTCATTAATATTTCATCTACGTTAGTTTTACAAGAACCGAACTTTATTGTCAAAAATTGCGTTTCATCTTTTTCGGGTAAAATCAGTTTTAAATTTCCCTCCCGCGTTTTACCACAAAATTTCCCAAAAAGTCTATTTCTGATGGGGGAATTTTCGAAAACAATTACAAATATTTAAGAAACATTTTTTTTATAATTATTTAATTATAAAGGAATAATTAATCTAAAATCTTTCATGTTAACCGGGCCTGACTCCTCATAGTAAGCTTCAACCTCGTTATTTTCAGTCTTCATTTGAAGCATCCACACCAGTTTCAATAGGGTTTTAATGTAGTATGTCAATAACTGCTAAATGTATGGTATATGACTAGCGCAATTGATTAATTATTGGTCATATCTGGCCAAACCTTTTTTTAACAGTGGTAATTTAATTTTTTGATGCAACTATATCAATTACGAGATCCAAATGTAAAATTTTTAGCTACTCGAAAATCAGTTCCAGCGGTTTTTGACATCACAAGAACTTGCTATTGGAGCTAATCCTTGATATTAAAATCTTTTCAAAATTATGTTTATTGATATTAAAATGTCTTCAATTTTTTTCTCTAGCTAGTCTATTTATTTAGAATTACAAAATCCCCTCCCCTAAATTATTCTTAATACAATCTCTTTAATTTATTATTTCCTAGATATAAAACAGTAGCCTTGTGTTTTGTAATGATTGCGGTATGAATGAGCTTGTAATTCTATTAATAGATTTTAACCAAATCAGCAAGTCTTGGTACAATTTATTCTGAACTGCTTTTTGAAAAGTTAAAGATACTGGATTGCGTGTTTCTGTAAAATAAGGCTGGCATCAGACTTTTTTTTTGTTCGTTACTTTTTCATAGACTGTTATTTTGAAGGCCTGATGGTCAACGGCCAGGCATTTGATAAATAAAATTAATTGTGAAGGCTGCTCGTAGAAGATCCATTATAGGTTATTATTTTATTACAGCAACTGCAGCACCTTATTTTCTTCAACCTTTTTGAAATGATATCAAATATATGACGTTTGGGACAAAAAAATTAAATAAATGAAAATACTTTAAAATATCAATACTGTTAATAAAATAAAAGCTACGACAATATCAAAGGAATAAACACTGTAGTCTGTGTCACGAAATAACCAACAAGCTCTAACACACACACACACACACATACACACACACAGCCAGATTTATGAATAACTCAAATCATATAATGTATACAAGTGAAAATATTATTCGTTAATTTAAATTTCTTTCCTTTTTCTTTTCGAGCTATAGAGTTTAAAAAATAAGCTATTTAAATTTTGTGTTTCTAGTTTGTATTAACAACTTAAACTCTTTCGTAATTTACATCAATCACATTTAAAGTAATAAATATCATATTGCAAATGTAACACGAAATATTGATGTTCATAATTATATATTCAGTCTTGAAAACTTTTATCGTAATCACAATTTAAGTTTATCAGATTGAGATGGGTTCCATGGGAGAGTTAAATATTCATCTTGACTAAACATGAACAATCTACTCTAAAAGCTTTATGTGAAGAAGAATCTTTCATAACCCATCTGTGGTTTCGGTAATGGTGATATAATGATAAATAAAAAATAATGGAGCGTGATAATTGAATTAGAAGGTGATTTATAGCTAAAGGAGATAAATAATGACTGGAGGATGTCGCTTCTTGTCTTAAGAACATATTGATTTTGCTTGCGTTGCCCTTAGAGCGTTAGTTTAAATTTTATTTTCGGAGAATCGAAAACATGACATGTATTAAATATGTTACGGTGCTAAATATTCTGATAATCATAGAATTTAAATATTTCTTCCTAAAGATTAAAATTCTTTTGCTAGATAATTCAGTTATTTTGAATCCCTAACACATGTTATTTTTCTAATTGTGCCTGATTCATGCTATTTTTGTAACATTTTTCATGTTGTTTTTCTAATCTGGTATTTGTAGGAAAATTAAAATTTATAAGAAAACCTCGCCCAAATGGTAGACCCTTCTAAGAAAAAATATCTTCACACACATGTTATATGACAAAAAACTATCCCGTTTGTACCTCAGATATTTTTCTATGTGTGTATTATTTAGTCGTATTTTCTTTTAAAGAACTTTTGTAAGTAACTTATACCATTGAATAATTATTTTAAAAATACTTGAAGCACATAATTTAAAATATAAGCTTTTACCTTAACAGCATTTTTTTGGATAACGTTTAGATTTTTACATAACATTAGATTTAGTTTTTCGCACAAATATCAATTATTTTATTTATTCGAATCCAAGCCACCATCGACTTTAAGCCACACTCCAAATAATGTGCACCTCTTTTGGGAGGAAATAATTTGAAAAAAAAGTAGTATAAAAGAGATGATCAATATCCGATGTTAAAAAGAAGCCTTTTACAAAATTAAATGAGAACTAATACAAAGTGAATATTTTTATTTATTTTATTAGCTCTACAAAATTTTAAATACATATACACGAACCCGACATATCTCCATCGCCAAAGTTTTATGCACAATTTTCCCATTCAACGAATTATTCAGCCTTCAATTATAAACGCAAACCGTACTTCGATTATCAGAAGCATTAACATTCAGTAAAAATGCAGCTTTAAATTCGAATAAATATGGTATATCCCACTTCATTCTGAGACCTTTTTAAGACCCAAAAGATGCAAAACGCTTTCTAATTAAGTGTGGAATCACGGTACCTGGATGAACACAGTTACCGGTTTCGTGACCGGCAAAACACGGATATGAGCCCTGATTATCCGAAATGCTTATCGAGTGAAATAATAATGGGAGTATTATGTATTAAAGAAAACCGGGTGTCCGAAAAGTATGACTACACACATTCAAATAATAGTTACAAAAATAAATAAATAAATAAAGATATTCACTTACGGTTTTTTTCTCTTTGTGTGTGTGTGTGTTCCAAAGGTATCCATCCGACTGCCCTAAAATATTGATTTTTTTTCAAAAATTGCCAAATTTTTTTATGATTTTATTTATAAGCCATCTTATTAGCTTAGTAAAAATATCAAGTTTTTTTTATTTTCCATTCACTGGAACAAAAACTGCGCGCTTTGCAAATGTAGATACCTCATGTAATTTACACAAGATGTTAAATTTTAAAATGCGTTTTACTCGAAATGTGTTTTTTTCCCGAAAAGCTCAAACGAGGACAGCGATTGTTCAAAAAGTTTTTAAAATAATTTGGTGAGATTTTTTTGTGCATGTTCTGTTTAACTGTAGAAGTGTTTTGACCTTCAGATTTATCAACCACTGTTTCATTTTAAAATTTGCAGTCCTATATGTGAATATACTCACTGTTTTTTTAAGCACTTTTATATAATCACTAAGATATAAAAGGGCTTTAGTTTTTTGTAAAAATTAAAATATCTCTTATACTGAAAGTCATTTCAAACACGAATAACAAAGTAACACATCAAAATTGAATAATTGAGAATTTGTTCCTAAAATTTTTGTTGCAGTAGGCACTGCTTCTATATAATTTTTTGTACACATTTTCACCAGTTTTATCCAAATTTAATAATAATAATTTTTTTTTTCTGTTTTCACTGTAGGAATTTTCCCCTTAAAATATACTACACTAAATCTAAAAATCACAAAAATCCCCATATCTCCCATTTTTTAAAAAGTAGTCGCGTAGTCGGACAATCTTTAAGAAAACTTTTAAGTTTTTATAATGCCTTATTTCGCACGATTTCAATGTATGCACCAGTAGTTGCGCTTACCAAGCCATCGTGTCTTTTTACGAGATTTCGCCAAGTTCTATGAATCATTGCATGATCCAAAACCAAAATGGCCACTGTTTTGACAATTCATTTCATCAGTGTTACTAATTGAAAATTGGTAAACAATGCTTTTCACTTATCTCCGTTCAAGAAAAGTCCAAAGGTAAAAGCGTCTAGAAATCTAGATGGCCACGTTATTGGATTTCCTTCTTCGTCTATCGCCTGGGGAAATTTTTTCTCACTTCCAAGCTCCAGTGTGGTGGCAACTCCATTTACACCGTACGTGTGTTGCAGATTTTAAGCTCCCATAGCCAAAACTTGAGATTTCTTTTCTTTCTTCTATTATTAGTTCACTCTCCCACTATTTATATATTTATTTATATACATGGTCCTTTTCAATCGTTCATAAATATTTTTTCATCCATTCAAGTTCAAAATACGTTTTTAAACTTGAAGTGGATGACCCTTGATGTTAATACAGTTTTTCAAAATATTAATTCATTAATTAAATTTTAAAAAAAAATGAATAAATAATAACAAACAAAAAATAATTGTCCAACAGAATATATAAGTAGGAAGGAAAAATCGTTTGTTGTGTCCCTGTAGCGCACTGATAGCGTTTTTGGAATTCCATTCAAAGTCGTGGTTTCGAATCCTACCTGGGATGGCCTAATTTCTGAAATGTGATTCTTTTTATAATAATACTAAATTAATAATGAATAAATAGAAATGTAAACAAAAAAGAAAAATAGCCCAACACCATATATATAGAAAGGAAAATGGAAAATTGCAAGGAAAATTGCATTCTATTTTGTCACTTCATATTGTGATTCTGTCATATATATATATACATAGTTATATTAATTGTAACTATTTAATAAAAAGTGAAGGACCCCAGTGGCCGAGTGGTAGCGTATCACGCTTCCACACCACGGGTTCGAGATTCTATCCTCGGGCTGCGCAATGGTCGACTCAGCTTTTCATCCCTTCTGCAGTGCTTCTCTTTGGTAATGAATACCAAGCTTGCTTGGGGACTTAAACACATTGGGGGTCCCTTGGAAAAAAAGGTATTAGCAAGTGTGTATGTAAAATAACACTTTTTAGCAAGAATGTGTTTAAGGTTGCATCTGAAGAAAAATTCCCTTTTAAATCTTGGAAGCCGCTTGGATAATCTTTCAGGCGATAACTTTGGTTAGTTATTTGGTTTGTCAGTGACTGTAGAATGCACCGAACTCAAATAAAAATGTTCCATTTTTACAATTTAAATTTCCTGAAGGAGGTAATTTTTTATTGACATTTCTGACAGATGTTCCCAGAAATTGCTGTCTTATCCACGGGCGAATTTCGTATAAGAGTGTATCGACTTCTTTTCTTCAACTTGGCATATTTACTTGTTTTAAAAAAAGGTTTTAAAAAATTCCAAATATTTGCCATTATGCAGGGTACAGCAAAAAAAAACCCTGGACAAACTATTTTTTTATAACTTACAAAAAATTAAGAAATTAACAAATTATAACAAGTAATAATAATACACTCGTACTAATAAGTAAATTTAATTTGTATCAAAGTGACCACCGTTTGAAACAAAACAAAGGAGCAAACGCTTGCAGAAATTTTCAACAATGAATCTCTAGACTTTTACCTTTAATCTATCCCATATCTCCCCAGAAGCGATTGTTTTAGAGAGTTCAAAGTTTTAGAGGTTTCATGCAGGCCCTGGACTCTCTAAAATGGACCATACACTAAAATCCCTTGGGATTGAGATCCGGTGTGTAGGGGCTATTCTGCAGATGATATCATGTCTGAAAATTAGCCTTGCACCACTCTTTTGTGTCCTTTGTTAATATGTTTTTATGGATTAATAAAATATTAATTGTAATAAATAAAAATGGTTTTGGCTTTTTAAATTTAAAAACTGAAGTTTTATTTTTTTCCTTATCAATTTTCTCTGTAAATGTATGTTAACTGTTTTTAAAAGCAAACAGAGAAAAATTAATAAAAAGAACTTAAGTATTTTTTTATCTTATAGAAATAATTTTTGTTCTGTTGTTGAATATGTTTTTAAATTAGATAAAAAATGTTAATAAAACTATTAAAATTTCTATTTTCATTCCCACAATTTAAAATAAAAATTAACATAATGTATATAGGCTTTATAACCAATTTTAAAACAACTGTATTAAACTAAATAATTATCAATCACACACAATACCATCATCATCACTGTTAAAGCTTTATTTTTATACATTTAAATTTATGTACAATAAGAGGACATTCAAAAAGGTATAAAACTTGCATTCCCAGATAGATAAATAACATTCTCAATATATTTTCCTCTATGTTTTGTAGATTTCACATTGGTTTCATTAATTCATTAAATTAAGTAAGGAAGGAATTAATTACTAAGGAATATAACTGTTGAAACACTTTTTTGAGCTTACAATGATAAGAAATTATAAAAATAATGTATTTTACCAGATAATTTATTTTAATGCTGAATTATTTATGTGACATTTTTTGTTGTTGATTTCATCACCAAATATAAAGCTGAACGTATTTGTAATGAGTAGAATCAGGGTTAAAACACTTGAGATATATATAAATAGTTAGCACACGTAGGCATATAGTGAATTATGTAGAAGTAAGTCTAGCTACAAAATTAAATAAAAATAATTCTAAAAATGTAATTTTCATTAAAATTTTTTTCCTGAAACTACAAAGCGTTCAATAATTTAATCTTAAAAATAAATTTAAAACGTATGTAATTTTAGCAAATACTGAATTCACTATTAATTCAGAAAACATTGTATAATCTATTAAATCCAATATATGAAAAATTAAATACTGAATATTTCTTCGTCTCATTTTTTACTGGCAGAAAATATTCTGTAGTGAGAATACATAGGGAAAAAAAAATATCTTTTGGATTAGCAGGAGTGATATTGCTTATAAATAGCTCAGTATCTTTCTTTGTTTAAATAAAAGGAAAATCTCACAGTTCTTATGGTCTCGCAATCAGATATATCTTAGGCTTAAAGCGAGAGCTAATAAAAGATTTTAAGAGCGACAAGGAGCCATAACCACTGTCTGCCGCATCCTCTGGAGCGTATGAGCCGAGTTTTTCGAATATATCGATCAGGATATTTCATTTTTATAATAAATCCAGAGTATTTTGAGTTTTAAGATTTAGGAAGTTGAAGATATATCCATGAGAACCAAACAGAAGAGACTTAAGACATCCTTTCATATTTCAGTTTCAAATCCTTAATGCTATTTTAAAATGGTATCTTCAGCTTTTAACTGAATTGAATAAAATACACAATATTCAATTTTCCAAGATATTCTGCTGAATTGAAATACTGTTTATGGTGACGTTTTGGAATATATTCTTTTTATTGGTATTTAATCGTAGAATTGTAGTGCTAAAGATAATGCACAAAATTAGATGTGGATTTTGCAATAAAGCTGTAAATATTGAAATATTTTATGTTTCTGATAATGAATTTGTCTTCACGGCTTATATGGAGCCCTTACACATAAATATGCATACCTCATGACAAAAATTCCTTCATACAGGGTCTGTCTCAAAAGTTCCCTGGATGATTTTTTGAATTTGGCAATGCTGGCTGGAGGGGCTGAGCTTCTTTATGTAGGAAAGTTGAGGGGGATCTAAGCTTCGAGCCAGTGTCATCGCCTTCGGTCAGTTTTGAGGCAGGGTCCTGCTCCGCGCAGATGTACCTACTGTAACCGAGTCCAGCAAAAAATGGACTTCCAGTACCGCCTCCAGTGTGCTGCCATGTTGAGTCTGACAAACTCTTGATCCTGGGGAACAAAAAGAAAAAGAAATCCACTGGTGCTAGATTGGGGACAAAATGTGTCGAATATCATCTCGTAGGAATCCAAGTGTACCATGTTGAAATTCGAGTCACTCGTTTTACTAGTGCTTGCTACTGTAATGATCCATATATTCATACATATTGTGATGAAAATTATCAAACATCTGGTGATCTGACGCACCTATGTGTAGGTACCTTTCACAATAGTATTTTTCTGCTGTTCGTGCATTTTCTTCTACCAATCCGTAAATCAGGTGCATATCTGTCAACTCGGTGTTTGTAGAACTATCCCTTCTCCTCTGAGGGCGATGACAGCTAAAATGACTGCGGTACCGCATGTCTGTTTTCTTATGCCCTTGTGGACAACGTCACCTAGCGCCGAACGAAGACGTTTCCAACCATGGGTTGCTATGCAAATCTGAATTCTTTTAATGTCCTCTACCCCTTAAAGTTTGTCCTAATGATCTTGAGACACCCTATACGTGACTTTTCTGTAGAATCTTGTAAAGTAATTTTTTCCACTCCTGCGTAGTCTACTCTTTTTTGTATTCAAATGAAATTACGTTATGAAGCCAGTAAGGAATGTAAATAATACACAATTGAGATGCAAATCTTTATTTCATAAAACTATGTATGTATGTATGTGTTAATGAAGATGATGATGATGCCATTCTTTCCTACTTTATCTTGATACGTATGTTTAGATAATTTTTGTTGTTGTTGCACGCCCCCATTGGTCAGAGAGGGGTTTGACCAGGTCCATGACATCGTACCCCTTTCAGAAAGTCCAACACCAGCAAGGGATCGTTTTCTAAATCCTGCAGATAAGTTTTAAAACCCATATATTGCTTATATTGTCATCAGAAAATAATATAAATAAGCAATTTAAAAGTCGTTGAACAAATGCTATTTAATTTTCTGAAGCGTATACATAATCGCATCAAGTTTTAACTTTTACAATTAGACGAAGTTTTAAGCCATCTTAATAAATTAATAGTTGTGTCTTTTCTAAATCACGTAGTCTTAAATGTTTCTTCCGCCTAGAAATGTAATTATTGTCACAACAGTCTGTGAACAATGTCAGGGTTTCAAGAATCTGCAAGAGAGGATTCCATCTCTTTAATTAATTATTAGTCCAGAGCGTTAAAGGAAAATGCAAAGCCACGAAAGTCGCATGGCAGAACCTAGAACAGGGAGGAAAATAAGCATAAACTAAATCTGTTAGCAGAAATTAGTGAAGAATCACACAGAGTAAGAGGTAAACATGCTCTGGGGAAAAGTTAGAAAGTCTAAAAATAAAATATTCTACTTTGATTATAAATGGTGTATTTTATACCTTGTAATTAGAGAAAAGATTGATCGAAACAATTCATGTCATGCATCATAACCAACTTACAGCAAAGATAAAGGATATAAGAATAATTTTATTAATGCACAATCTCTGAAAGATCTTTTAGTCGGATATGTAAATTTAACCCTCTGGCCGGAACATTAATTTTTTCCGACACTGAGGAACATCCGTATGACAGACGGGTACGTAAATTTTTTTGAATTTTATTACCTTGAGGACTTTTTTAGTCTTATAGCTCATGAAATTGAGTATAGCTCAAATAAGATGCGTGGGGTTATATCAAGTACAACAATATATTTTTATGACTAGAATTGTGACTAGTATTTTTATAAAAACTGATTAAATTTATTTATATTCATGTAAAAGTAATTAAAAATAATAACATCAAACACGAAAAAACTATAGGAATATTCGACTGATAGACGGCGATAGATAAGAAAAATCGCACATGTCGTGAGTTGAAAAAAATGGCCATGTACC